AAAAAAAAAGACTCAATGAGCAGACATCAAATGATTAGACATTTAGTAACAAAAAGAAAGCAAGCAGGAGGTTGCCATTATTAAAGTACATGGTTCAGTCATGCTCGTGCTAATGAAGCTAACATCAAGAATTTACAAATGATGCAATAAACAGGAACACAAGGTTTTTCCCCAATAAAAACTAGTACATCCTTTATTCATAGGTATTATCCCATAATTTTGGGAAAGCAGCAAAAGCAACAGCATCTAGGCTCAAAATATGTGAATTCGCGTGTCTGAGAGAGAGCGCGCTTCTACTAAGAAAGACACTCAACATTTGGACCGAGATAAGCAACAACCAAATAATTGAATCACAGAGAAGTTATGGAGTAGCGAACATAAGGGAAGGCTACAAGACCTGAAGAAGAAAGCACATAATAAATGATTTTGATGTGTACACACAAACGTCAGAATTAGAAAACTGAAAACTAGTGGCTGCAGACTGAAATGTACATCCAAAAAACTATACTAGGCCTCTAGAATATAAAATATCTTGAGATTATAAGAAGCTCCTTAAATTCCAAATTTGAGCAAAGTAGGCCTCTAGAATTTCCCTAATCTAGCACAAGCAATATACCTTCTAGAGGATTGCCCACAATTTCAAAAAGCACTAAATGAAGAAAAATTTCCAAATCCAGAAACTTGCAAACAAATTCCAATCATAAACCCCCACAAAAAGGAATGGGTACCTGGCTGCTCCTCCACTTTGGGCCATAAAAAGTCCACCTTGGTGGAGAGACAAGCCCCAGAGGCAATAGCAACGGCAGTAACAGCCACTTGGGTGATGGCAGAAGTGACAGCCCCATGGACAGTGGCACCAGAGCCCGAGGCAGCAGCAGCAGCAGCAGCTATGGCGTTAAGGGAAGCAGAAACAGTGAATTTCTTGGGAATACACCTGAACTTAGTAGCAGTTTTGGGATGGAATTTGTGGAGGAAAAGAGGGGAGGTTTTCTGGGCAAGAAACATTTTGTTGGAAGGGTTTGGGATTGGCATGAAGAAGAAGAAAGAAAGGGCATGCTAAGGTTAAAACAAAAAAATCACAATGTTACACATGATTCTGTTGGTTGCTTGTTGTCGTTGGAGAGTAAGTTTGTGATTGTTATTGTTGTTTTTTATTTGTGTGGTTGGGACCTATGACATGGTGGGAGGAGTGGGTCAGGAGTCGTGGTTGTGTGATTTTTGTTGGAAGTTAGTTTTTACAGTTATATGAACAGAAAGGAATAAAGCAAAAACAATAGCCGCTGCTCTCGTTG